TTTTGGATTGGTTTGGCTCAATTTCACGGGGATTTCAGTGCCCAGGTGTGCTCAGGTGTGCCCAGGTGAGCTCACCTGTGTGATCCTCCTGTAGGTATCGGCAGCTGAGGGGCTCTCGAAGGGGGGGTGCCCTGCCAGCAGCTCATAGCACAGCACCCCCAGGCACCACAGGTCCACCTTCTCATCATGGCCGCCGCCCTCCACCATCTCGGGGGGCAGGTAATCCAGGGTTCCACACAGGGTGCGGCGCCTGAGGGGTTAAACGCACACCTGGGCACACCTGGGGGGCACCTGAAGCTNATGGGGATTTTGGGACTCAGGTGTGCCCAGGTGAGCTCACCTGTGTGATCCTCCTGTAGGTATCAGCACCTGGGGGGGTCTCAAAGGGGGTTTGGGGCAGTTTTGGGTTGGTTGGGTTCAGTTTTATGGGGTTTTTTGGACTCAGGTGTGCTCAGGTGTGCCCAGGTGAGCTCACCTGTGTGATCTTCCCATAGGTATCAGCATTTGAGGGGGTGATTTTGGCTCAATTTGGGCGATTTTTGGGGCAGTTTTGGATTGGTTGGGCTCATTTTTATGGGGATTTCAGTGCCCAGGTGTGCTCAGGTGTGCCCAGGTGTGCTCAGGTGTGCCCAGGTGTGCTCAGGTGTGCCCAGGTGAGCTCACCTGTGTGATTCTCCTGTAGGTATCAGCAGCTGAGGGGGGGTTGAGCTCANTGGTCACTCAGGGTCAGTCAGGGGCACTCAGGGTCACTCAATGGTCACTCAGGGGTCACTCATTGGTCACTCAGGGTCACTGTGGTCACTCAGGGTCACTCAGGGGTCACTCAGGGTCACTCAGGGTCACTGTGGTCACTCAGGGGTCACTCAGGGTCACTCACTGGTCATTCAGGATCACTCATTGGTCACTCAGGGGTCACTCAGGGGTCACTGTGGTCACTCAGTGGTCACTCAGGGTCACTCACTGGTCATTCAGGGTCACTCATTGGTCACTCAGGGTCACTCAGGGTCACTCAGGGTCACTCATTGGTCACTCAGGGGTCACTCACTGCTCATTCAGGGTCACTCATTGGTCACTCAGGGGTCACTCAGGGGTCACTGTGGTCACTCAGGGTCACTCAGTGGTCACTCAGGGTCACTCGGGGCAGTACCCAGGTGGGAGGACCCTTCTGGAATGTTCCCGCACCCAGGGGTGTCCCAGCACCCCCCGCAGGTGCAGCCGCTGCGCCGGCGCGCGCTGCAGCAGCCGCTGGATCAGATCGCGAGCGCCCTCTGGGATGTGCGGGGGGAAGTGCAGGTCAACCTGGGGGGGGGGGGGGGGCACAGGTGAGAACAGGTGGGGTCAGGTGTGCCCAGGTGAGCTCACCTGTGTGATCTTCCCGTAGGTAGCAGCAGCTGAGGGGCTGATTATGGCTCAGTTTGGGTGATTTTGGCTCAGTTTGGGTGATTTTGGCTCAGTTTCGGTGATTTTGGCTCAGTTTGATGGGGATTTTGGGACTCAGGTGTGCTCAGGTGTGCCCAGGTGAGCTCACCTGTGTGATCTTCCCGCAGGTAGCAGCACCTGAGGGGCTGATTTTGGCTCAGTTTGGGCAATTTTGGGGCAGTTTGATGGGGTTTGGTTCAGTTTTATGGGGATTTTGGGACTCAGGTGTGCCCAGGTGAGCTCACCTGTGTGATCNTCCAGGTGTCCCCAGGTACCCCCAAATCTCCCCCAGGTCCCCCCATAACCCCTCAGGTGTGTGGGATGTGTGGGGCAGCAACTTCCCCAAAATTTGGGGTCAGGGCACCCCCAAAATCCTCTCTGAGAGCCCCCCCCTCCTCCCAGCACCCCAAATTTTGGGGACCCCAGACCCACATCCAGGAGAGGACCCCGATTTTGGGGGTTTCCACCCCAAAAAATTAATTAATTCCCTGCTAATTAAGGCCCATCCCCAATTTCCCCTCTCCCATTCCCGGGATCCCCTGAGATTTTTGGGGTTCCCCTGAGATTTTTGGGGTCCCTTTGGGGTTTTTGGGGTCCCCTCCGTGGATTTTTGGGGTGTCCAGACCCTGATTTGAGGCCCAACCTCTCATTTTGGGGGTTTTCACCTCCAAAAATTAATTAATTCCCTGCTAATTAAGGCCCATCCCCAATTATATTTTCCCTTCTCCCATTCCCGGGATCCCCTGAGATTTTTGGGGTTCCCCTGAGATTTTTGGGGTCCCTTTGGGGTTTTTTTGGAGGATTTTGGGGGTTTTGGGGTCCCTGAGTCAATTTTTGGGGTGATTTTGGGGTCCCCGATGTGTTTTTGGGGGGTTTTGGGGTCCCCGAGTCCATTTTTGGGGT